GTGCCTCCCCGCCGGACCCTCCGCTCATCCCGCCAGGGCCGCGCCAGAGCTGTGCAGGCTGGGCAGATCCAGGAAAGCGAGCTATGGGTACGCACCCACCTGCCAAGCAAAAGAGTGGGGCCAACCTGAGCTTGGCTTCCTTCCCAAGTCCCTCCAGTGTGAACCTGAAGGGGCCACCGGGAGGCAGTGATAGCACCCACCCATCCGTGGACAGGGAGGCGAGGTGATGCAGCGCTGCTTCCCTGGCTGGCAGAGAGATCCTGAACCTGCCTGTCCTTTCCACCCCTCGCCCAGTCTGTCCCCATCCCCATACATCTCCAAATGCATCTGCAGCTCCAAACGCTGCAGCAGAATGGGCATCAGGCAGAGGTGCTGACTCGGCGGGGCTCAGCTCGTAGGAGGAAGCAGTGCAGGCCATAAATAGCCTCCCTGTCCACAGATGGGTGGGCACTATCACTCTCCAAGAGGGTGGCCTCTCCCAGTGGCCCCTTCGGGTTCAGGCTGGAGGGACTTGGGAAGGAAGCCAAGCTTGGGTCGGCCTGGCTCTTTTTATTTGGCAGGCGGGCGTGCACCACACGGCTCTGGCACGGCCCTGATGGGATGAGCAGAGGGTCCAGAGAGGAGGCCCTCACTTTGGTGAGAGCCGTGCCGCCAGGCAGGAGGGCCCACCTGTCAGCTGCGCTGGGTGCCCCAGGTGAAGCTCTTCGCACTCTGCCCGGCACCAGGCAGGGATAGAGGCTGGGTACTTCTCCCGGGGTGGACCGATCCTGCACTGTGCCCTTGGGAGATTCACCTCCCCACGTGGGGTTGGGCTGCCCTCTCGGGCAGGGGAGGCTTTGTCATACCAGTAGTAGGGTGTCGTTTTTAAAAGAATTGGCTTTGCCTTTGAACGCAAAGGGAAGGCGGCGACAGGAGTGCCTGAAGCCGAGTGTCTCTGCCGGGCTCCGGTTGCAGGAAGGAGCCCTGGCTGGCTGCGCATGGCTGTGCCAAATACTGCAGCATTGCTCTAAATGCTGCAGTAGCAAAGGAGAAGAGCAAGCAACAGGGGAGGAAGGTCCCCTGCTATGAAGTGCCCCACCAACGCCAAAGTCAATGCAGGCAGCACCATATCCAGGTATGCAACAAAAGTACTTCCTAACGGCAAGCCCCCCCTGCCATCCCCCCTATTTTGCATGTTTAATATAGGCCTCAATTTGGGGGAGGGGCTTAATTTGATTTTATTCTGATAAAAAAATGGACCTTCCTATGGGGGAGGCCATATTGTTTGAGAAACAAGGTAGGACATTGCAATGTATGACTTTATATACTATACTTAGATCGGACCGAAGGTGGTGTAGTTCTAGGTTTTTCTAGGTCTAGAATTTCAAGTCTGGTGGCATAAGGTATTCTGCAATGAGTAGAGGAGTGGAGAACTCTTCTTGTGAAATATTTCTGGACTTTCTCAGCTGTGTTAATATCAGATATGTAATGTGGGTTCCAGACTGATGAGTTGTATTCGAGTATTGGTCTAGCAAATGTTTTGTATGCTCTGGTTATTAGTGTAATATTACCAGAGAAAAAGCTGCGTAAGATTAGGTTAACAACTCTTAATGCCTTTTTGGCTCTGTAGTTACAGTGGGCTCTAGCATCTGGATCATTAGAGATGAGTGCTCCAAGATCCTTGCCAAGATCTTGACTATTCAGCCTGTATTTTATTTTCTGATTTTTTTTTTGCCAATATGTAGGACAGAGCATTTATTTGTTGAGATTTGAAGTTGCCATTTGTTTGACCATTCTGATACATAGTCAAGGTCTTTTTGAAGGGTAGCAGTATTTTCTGTGATGGTGAATAGCTTTACGTCATCAGCAAAGAGAACACAGTTTTTTTTGATATGATCACAGAGGTCATTTATGTAGAGTATGTAAAGAACTGGTCCTAGAACAATGCTTTGGGAGACACCACTGTTGATAGGTACAGAATTTGATAGGACGCTCCCAATGTTGACCATTTGTTGTCTGTTTGACAGAAATGCTTCTATCCAGTTATGCAGGTGTCCAGAGATACTATAAGATTTTAGTTTTAGGAGTAGTTTGTCCTGTACCACTGAATCAAAGGCTTTACAGAAGTCAATGTAGATTGCGTCTATTGCTTTGCCCTGATCGAGTTGGGTAGTCCATATGTTGTTGCAGTGTAAGAGTTGCAGAATATTTGATAGTTTTTTTCTGAAACCAAATTGTTTATTAGAAAGTAAGTTGTTTTTTTCTAAGTGGAGGATGATGGATTGGTTAATAATTGATTCCATGACTTTATAGGTGACACAGCATAAAGAGATTGGTCTCCCTTTTTGAAGATGGGGATGACCATGGCTTGTGACCATAGTTTTGGCAAGAAGCTGGTCCTGAAAGATTTTTCAAAGATGATGCTTAGAGGTTTGGCTATGGCAGTGGAGATATATGTTCAGGTGGGGGCTTGAGCATAACCTGAGCACAACCAAGCCCCCACCTGAACAGAACACGCCTCCAACCAATCAGAACACAGCCAAACCCCCTACCAATGAGAACACACCCCCACCCAATCAAGTCCCACCCCCACTAGCAGTTAAAAGGAAGAAGCAGCTGCAATCTCACATCACTCTGAGAAGCACAGAGCCGGAGACAGAAGCCTGAAGATGATGAATGAGACTTCATCGAAACGTTGCCTAGATACTTCGAATCTTACGCAGGAGAAAACCCGAACAACCAAAGATCCATATATATATATGTTTTCTGAGGTTCTCGCGGGTGTTTATATGTGGATCTTTGGTTGTTCGGGTTTTCTCCC